AATTTGCCAGGGGATTTGATTGACAGGGAGATTGAATTTACCGTTGATGTGATTCCCGGAACACAGCCAGTTTCGAAAGCTCCTTACCGAATGGCTCCAACTGAATTGAAAGAACTGAAAGTGCAACTGCAAGAACTGTTAGACAAAAAGTTCATCAGACCCAGTACCTCACCATGGGGTGCACCGGTTTTGTTTGTAAAGAAGAAAGATGGCTCGCTGAGACTGTGCATTGATTACCGTGAATTGAATAAGGTAACTGTAAAGAATAAATACCCATTACCGCGTGTTGATGACCTGTTTGATCAATTACAGGGTGCTAAAGTATTTTCGAAGATTGATCTCAGATCCGGATACCATCAGTTGAAAGTTAAATCAGATGACATTGATAAAATTGCTTTTAGAACGAGGTATGGACATTACGAATTTTTAGTTATGCCTTTTTGGAGTCACGAGTGCACCAGCTGCATTTATGGACCTTATGAACAGAATCTTTAAACCGTACCTTGACAATTTCATTGTAGTATTTATTGATGACATATTGATCTACTCTAAGAGTATAGAAGAACATGAACATCATCTGAGACTTGCCCTACAAACCTTAAGAGAACAGAAACTGTATGCTAAAATATCTAAATGTGAATTTTGGCTTGACCATGTTATGTTTTTGGGGCATGTTGTTAGCAAGGATGGAATTTCTGTTGATCCGCAAAAAATTGAAGCTGTAGTGAACTGGCCTAGACCAACAAATGTGACTGAAGTCCGAAGCTTTTTGGGTTTGGCTGGATATTACAGAAGATTTGTCAGAGATTTCTCCAAAATTGCTTTACCGTTGACTCAACTGACTCAGAAGGGGATATCATTTGACTGGACTGATCAAAGAGAATCTACTTTTCAGGAATTGAAAACTCGATTAGTGACTGCACCTGTTCTGACTTTACCTTCAGGTACGGATGGTTATACTGTCTTTAGTGATGTTTCTCATAAGGGTTTGGGATGTGTTTTAATGCAGAATGGGAGAGTTATTGCTTATGCTTCCCGACAGTTGAGACCACATGAAAAGAACTACCCGACCCATGATCTGGAACTTGTTGTAGTTGTCTTCGCACTGAAAATCTGGCGTCACTATCTGTACGGGGTGACATGTGAAGTATATACCGACCACAAGAGTTTGAAATATTTCTTCACACAGAAAGAACTGAACATGAGACAGCGGAGATGGCTAGAACTGATTAAAGATTATGACTTACAGATATTGTATCATCCCGGAAAAGCCAATACCGTTGCCGATGCATTGAGTCGAAAATCAATTGAAAACGTAGCATGTTTGCTTACCGGACAGAAAGAGTTGCTTTGTGACCTTGAAAAATCTGAAATCGAAATTGTTTTGCGAGAACAAGGTGGAACCTTAGCTACTATTTCTGCTCAACCGGCACTGATTGAAAAGATTAAAGAGAAACAGCAACTGGATGACTTCTTGAAGAAGATCATCGAAGAAAGAGAATCTAAACCGAGACCGGGATTCAAATTCGAGAACAATGTCCTGAAATTGCAAGAGAGACTGTGTGTGCCGAATGACACAGAACTGAGAAGAAGAGTTCTGCAAGAGGGCCACAACTCAAAATTTTCTATCCACCCGGGGAATACGAAAATGTATCAAGATTTGAAACAGAATTTCTGGTGGCCGGGAATGAAGAAAAAAATTGCCGATTTCGTATCAAAATGTCTTCATTGCCAACGAGTTAAAGCCAAACATCAACGACCCGCAGGCTTGTTACAGCCCTTACCAATACCGGAATGGAAGTGGGAGCATATCACCATGGATTTTATAGTGGGATTGCCTCGCTCCAATAAAGGTATGGACTCGATTTGGGTTATTGTTGATAGACTGACTAAATCTGCTCACTTCTTACCTGTCAAGGACAATCTAATCGCGATGACAATTGGCTGTTATCTATAATTGATGAATTGTGAGACTGCATGGAGTGCCTGTGTCTATTGTTTCTGACAGGGATTCGAAGTTTACATCGAGGTTTTGGCAAGGTCTACAGACTGCATTGGGTACTGATTTGAGGCTGAGTAGTGCCTATCATCCTCAGACAGATGGCCAATCAGAAAGGACCATCCAAACTCTGGAGGATTTACTGAGAATGTGTGTCCTTGATTTTCAGGGAGATTGGGAAAGTCGTTTGCCCTTAGCTGAATTCGCCTACAATAACAGCTACCATTCGAGTATTAGCATGGCGTCTTTCGAGGCATTGTATGGCAGAAAATGTAGATCTCCGATTTGCTGGGAAGAAGTTGGAGATGGGCCTTTGCTTGGGCCCGAGATCGTATATGAAACAACTGAGAAAGTGAAACTGATACAGCAAAGACTGAAAACTGCACAGAGTAGACAGAAGAGTTATGCTGACGTCAGAAGACGAGACAGAGAGTATGAAGTGGGTGATCACGTATTTGTAAAAGTGACACCGATGAAAGGCCAGACTCGTTTTGGAGTCAAAGGCAAGTTAGCACCAAGATACGTCGGACCATATGAAATTATTGAGAAAATTAATCCGGTGGCGTATCAAGTTGTGCTCCCTCCTGAAATGGAGCACATGCATAATGTTTTCAACATTTCGATGTTAAGAGATTACCTCCGGGATCCCTTCCATGTAATTGAGCCTACTCGAGTAGTGTTGAGTGATGACTACACTTACGAGGAACGGCCTATACAGATTGTAAATAGACGAATCAAGAAGTTGAGAAACAAAGAGATCCCGTTGGTGAAAGTCGACTGGCAGAACCATGGTGGCATGTATGCCACTTGGGAAAGGGAAGACGACATGGCTAAAAGATATCCTGAACTGTTTCCACTGAACCCTGTTTTCTTCCAGAATGAAGGTAACTCGAGTTTAGAGGACTAAACTCTTTATAAGGAGGGGAGATTGTAACAACCCTGCTATGGCTTTGGGGTGTCTTGTTTTTCCCCCGTCTGTCTCCGTACTGTTTGGTTTACTGTATAGACTGTCAGCTACTAACTGTACTGTTATCAAGGGATTTGGTCCCTGTACTGTGTGACTGTAAATTTTGTATAGACTGTACTGTTTGTATATGTGAATGCTTGAAAAATCTTTTTGGTATACAGACTGTCACAGCTCAATGGACATTATTTATTTACTGTTTTGGCTTCCGCCAGGCCCTGTACTCTGTTTTACTATACTACTGTTCTGCAGGCCTTCGGTAATCTTGGATTACTGGCCGGTTACGGTGCTAAACCCATAAGGCTGGGTTTGGGTCGTGACGCAAATCCACCGACTCGCCAAATTCGCCTGACCCGACCCAACACCTAACGGATGAATGCGTGACATGTGACGGGCGGATGCAGGTCTAGAATTCAGGATTTTTCGAGGTCGGGTTGGGTGGTGGGTAACCCGTCATTATATCAACAAAACCCGACCCGACCATGATTTATTTTTCTTTTTTCCGCCTCAGCCCATTTTGCCCTAACCCCAAGTCTCATTTCAGACAGACACACTCTCTCTTCGCTCGCTCTCTCTCTCTGGGGCCCCAAAACCCTACCGACGATCTACTACACTGAACAACGGCGATCGACTACATTGAACGGCGATCGGCTATCGGCTACACTGAACGACGATCTACCAAACGGCGATCAGCTATCGGCTATTGGCTACACTTTTTTCGTCGTCGTCCTCTGGTCTACACTAAACAGCCGACCGACGATCTACTACACTGAACAGAGAATGATCTACACTGAACGAACTGAGGTATTGCCTGTTCTTCTTCTTCTTCTTCTTCTTTCCTTTTCTCTTCTCCTGTCCTGTTTTGCTCTTCTTCTTTCCTCTTCTTCTCTTCTCCTCTTCTGTTTTTCTCTTCTTCTATCCTCTTATTCTCTTCTCCTGTCTCTCCACACTCTGGTCTTTTTATGGTTTTATGTGTTTGTTTATTTGTTTTGTTTTTTATTTTTTTCAAGTTGGCTCATGTTTTGGGGTGGGTTGTTTAAATTTGGTAGAATTGGGTTTTCTTGTTTCTACTACTAATACTTGGGATGCTAATTGGGTTTTTAATTAGCATTTTAATGTGTGTCTTGAGAATATATCTTAAACGTAAAATGTAAGAGGCAGATAGTAAAGAATGAATATAGTTCAGTACATTGTTCTGGAATGAACAAACAATGAACAAAAATTCACTTTGTTCTGTAAATGAATCTAGGAACTGATATGCTAATGTTGAGCAATTTGGTGTTTGTAAATTGATTTGAGCAATTTGGTTTATAAACTGATTTAGGAACTGCTTTGGAAATGAATGATTTAGGAACTGCTTCGGAAATGAATGATTTAGGAACTGAAAATAAAAAGATTCACATCAGTTGACAGATTCATACAGAATCTGTGTATTGAGTCCAGTTATTAGTCCTTCATGTATTGATTCATGGTTTATTTTCTTTCAACCTTTTTTATTGAAACTATTTTTTGTCCTTCAGTTGACAGATTCATACAGAATCTGTGTATTGAGTCCAGTTATTAGTCCTTCATGTATTGATTCATGGTTTATTTTCTTTCAACCTTTTTTTTTTTAAAACTGTTTTTAGTCCTTCATACAGTGCTTCCATACAAAATCTGTGTATTGAGTCCAGTTATTAGTCCTTCATGTATTGATTCATGGTTTATTTTCTTTCAACCTTTTTTATTGAAACTATTTTTTGTCCTTCATACAGTGCTTCCATACAAAATTTGTGTATTGAGTCCAGTTATTAGCCCTTCAGTGAATATAACTGAATATTGGTTGCCCAGGTTGTCAGTGCATAACACTTCATAGACATTTGGTTATGCAATGAATAACACTTCATAGACATTTGAATCATTAACACTTCGTAGACATTTTGTGACAATCACTGAATATTGGTTGCATTTGCCCAGGTTATTTTTGCACACCTGAATGATGCCCAGGTTTTTTTTTTTTTTTAGAAAGTGCATAATTGAATTATGTTAAAAATTTATAAATTTTTAAACAGCCAAACCGATTTGTATCTATCCGCCAAACCGATTTGTATCCATCTGCCAATCCGCTCAATCTGCATCCGCCGGATTGGCAGACGGATGCGGATTGATTTTCTTCAATTTGCCAATCTGGCGGACGGATGGCGGTTTGGAGGTTCCGTGGCCACAATCGATCCGCGCCCACCCCTAATGCTTGGAATTAGGGGTGATTAGACATTTGGATGACCTGATAGATCCACCGGCTCTAGTCGGTGAGCGAATGCTTGGATCGGGTGGCGGATAATCAACCCCTAAACCGTGCATGCCCGAATCACCCATATGCCTTTTATGATTATTATTTTTAGTGATTTAGTTCTCTCTTCTATATTCTCCATCAACAATGGAGAGAGAAACAACCAAACCCTACCTTTCTCGTCTTTTGTCTCTCTACATCAGCTCGATTGGCGGTGGTGACTATACAACGGCCAAACCCCAAACCCCAAAACCCCAAACCCCTAAACCCTAAACCCCCAAACCCCAAAATCCAAACCCCAAACCCAAAACCCAAAACCCAAAACCCTAAACCCTAAACTTGTACCTGAAAATGATGTCCCATATAGGGTGAGCCAACGCCCAGTAGAGATATGTTAAACATAATATGAGCAATAATTAAGACATTAACATTTGATAAATGTTTATCTCACATAAATCAATTCATAGCCTATTTCAACTACATGACAAATGTGCCCACGTGTCATTCCATTCTCCATTTCTTATCTAATTTCTCAATTCATAACCCTGGCTCAGAACCTACAATGATAGTTTACTTGGCATGAACTCAGAAGGATGATAGAGCAGTTATATGAATATTAGAGATCTAGTCCAAAGAAACACACAGGCATATTTGGCATGAACCTGATCCATTCCCCAAAAAGACGGTCATATTTGGCATGAACTTGAATATTAGAAATCTTGCCCAAAAAAACACATACAGTAATGAACTATAAGTTGGAAAAATGCTCAAAGTTTATAAAGTCCAAACCGTCAAACTGATCGCTTTCATCCACCAATCCATGGCCCGCTCAATCTGCATTCGCCAACTTAGCGGATGGATGCAAATTGATTTTTTTTTCAATCCGCCTACTTTTGGATAGATGGCGAATGGATGTCACCCAACCCAACCCAAACCATGAGCACCACTACTTGCAATTATAGACACGTCACATTTGAGGTCTGTAACATGTTTTATCAATTTTTTTTTCTTTTTTACTATTTTGTGTATTCTCTGCTGCTTTCACCTCTCAGTTGATTTGTCAAACTCGTTTATTTTGGATATATATTTATATATTTAATATTATATTTATTTATTTATATGGGTTGGGGGCAGCAATATTGCTACCCTGCTATATTTCTTTGTTTCTCTATGTATATACTAATGGATACCACTTTTCCAATCAAAAAAACAAATGAATGCAGACACTACTACCACTTTCTTATTTTTGTGTTTGGTTGGTTTTCAAAATCTATTTTCAAAATTAGATTGATAAAAAAAAAAGCAACATAAAACTCAAATATTTTTTTACATCAAATGCATTGACCGTTGCACCGACAGATTATAAACCTGAATTAGGTACCCAAACCTGAATTGTTTTGCTAGGTATGTTTTTATTTATACAGGGGAGAGAGAGAGAGAGAAGAGTGGAGAGGGTGTGGTGTGATGGGGGATTCAAAGCCTAGAAGAAGTGTGAGATGTCCATACTGTGCAGGTCCTCTCGCAAAGGAGATGGTAACCACTGAGGCTGAGCTAAGCTTTTACGCCCCTCTTTCTTTCTATTATTATAATTATAATTATTTTGTGAAATCTGGTGCATCTATTTAACTGCAGGAAGCAAGTGACTGGACTCTTCCTCCCCTCATTAGGGATAGCTTTTCTATGGTAATTATTTTCTTAACCCATCTTATATTTCATTACTTGCCATTGCTTGCACTTGATGCATCATGTGCATATCATCACCTACTTAAATCAATTTTTGAATTCTAAATCAAACCAAAGTAAAAGTAACAAATAGTGAACCTGTCTTTAGATTCACTTAAATTTCCAAGTGAATGGGAATTTGGACCAAAATCTTCAATTTATCCTTTTTTCTATTCCACCTCTGGAGAATTCTTCGTCGTAGAAATTGTTTCAATATGTATGAATATAGAGTTTGTGTTAATCGTGAGATTTTTGCAACATGGTTGAGGAACATTGGAAATTCTAAGGGAGTTATCTGTTGAAGGTGGAGTTTTGGAGTGAATTGAGGATTTTATATATTTACCCATTTAGGAAAGTGTATGTCTCTCAATATGTGCCATGTTCGTTTTTGTTGGAAACAAAAAAAGTGTTACACAACTCCAATAAAGTGTTCACACCAAATTGGGTATTCACTTTGCAATTTAATAATAATAATTTAGATAATATAGTATAGATGATAAAGGCGCGCACACACACACATATGGGCTAATGTTTGTTTGTGTGTGTGTGTGGAGAAAATTGTATATTTGCTTAATTTAGTGCAATTTTCTTGAACTTTGCATATTTAATTAGTTTGTTGGGTTATTGAGATGTGATTTGATAATATTTCACTAAATATTCTTCAAAATTTTACTTTTGTTCGTCTTATGTTACAATCCTAAAGTTATTCTAAGTCAGTTAACAATGAGGTTGGCCATGTGAGTATATGCTCTCAGACATCCTCTTATTGCAAGTTGGTTTTCAAGGGTGAGTTTTACCCAAGGGTGTATCATTCGGTATTAGAACTAGTCACCATGTGGAGTATGAGATTAGACACAACCTATGTGAGTACGGGATTGAATGGGCCATTGCTTTATGGTCTGTGCTGCGGAGGGAGTAACCTATGGGCCAGATTAAAACATCTTATTATTGTGTGTAGGTATAGTACTATTGTGTTGAATATTGAAAAGTGAGTAAGTCTATAAAAGGGAAAGGAAAATGGCTACTGTTAATTAAGTGTCAATAGAGTGGGCTGTCATGTATGTCAGTTGTGGAGTGTGGTGGTGTGTTACGATCCTAACTATTTTATCCCTTTATTTTGCCTTCATGTTTACTTTCTTCTTTCTTTTGTTATGTCTTTACTATTCCTTTTCATGTAGATTGGTTCTGCCGTTGGTTGTACAACAAGTGCATTCTATGGATTCAACCATGGTATGTCATTTTATCCTTATTTTCTACTCGTGTTCCTCAACTCTTCAGTCTGTTCTATGACCTTGGAATAGTTATGTCATTCCTTCAGCTTTTAGTTCATAGTAATATGTTATTAGTTGTGCATGAGTTACAGCATATTTCATTGGGTTCCTTATATTGGTACTCTATATGTTATTTGATGTAGGTATTGTTGTCATTGTATGACTTATGGTCCCAGTTATTTTGTTGTAAACCAATGGTTTCAAAATGGTTTAACTTAGTAAAAGCATGAAATTTAAGATCTTAAAAGATTAGTATGTCAATGCACGTTGACTTTTGTGTGTGTGCGTGCAAGCGTGCGTGCGTGTGATGTTATTACCACAAAAAGAGATATTACAATTACTTTCATTACACCTCCCCAGTGGGTACACATCTTCGGGGAGATACGCACATGCCTAGCCTAAAACGTGCATATAGATATATTGATTAATAGAATAGGCAAAGCACACAAATACACATCGGAGCCATAAGCACCCACTGGTGATATAGTTAATGCTTGTTGGCAGTTGAATTAGCTATACAAATTGTGGAACTAACACCTAGTTTGCTATCAAAGAAGACAATGTACTTTTTTGTTAGATTTGACTTCTTCATTCTTGTATTCATTACTTTTCTTAAGGTTCAAACCTTGAACTTCGTCTCGATTTTTCCAGGAACAAAGATGCATTTGCTAAAGTATTATAGTTGCATTTATATATATATATATATTGTATCATGTCTTATGCTTCTAGGTTTAAATTAGAATGAAGTAGGCACTAAAACAATTTTTTTATTACAACACTTAGTACAAGAAAAAGTGTAGAGTTCAATGTTGTAAACTGATGGTATTCATTCAATTTGTATAGAAGAATTTATTGTGTGGTTAGAATTTGTAAAGATGCCGCATCCACAATCTTGCTCTAGGTAGCACGGAAGCTCTTAGCATTCCATATTAGTGTCCAATTCAGTTTGGATGCTAGCACCTAAAGGGCAAGCATCGACATGTGTTTGACACACTTACGGTTGTCCATATCGTGCCGTATTCATAACCCATGTTGTTATTTATGCTTGTCAGATATTGTTGTAACAGAGACCTAAAGACACGTGTCACACGATTTGGTTTGATACACTAAACAACCGATTTGTATCTAAGGGTGAATCGACAATAAGCATAAATTGCATCATAATTGTATGATGCATGATACGTATTACACGATTTAGTTTGATACACCAATACCAATCAATTGGTTCAACTTTATCCACGTGTTTCTACTTGCACAAGAAATATTTGGGAGGCATCAAGCAAGAGGTTATAAAAAGTGGTGATTTGAGTAGTTTGGACCATTTTAGATGAGTATTTGGATTACTTGAGTTGTAAAATTTTATTATTGGCGTTTGCCTCTTCGATGAATTGAAGACTTTTTTTTTTTTTTTTTCTCTTTTTTTTGAAAGGTCTCTTTTTAACACGAGTTTCAATTCTAGCATTTGTGTTTTGCACCAAAACTGAAGTCTATATATACCCTATATAAAAAAGAAACCAACTATATTCTATTAAATTTATCTCACTATTGTGATTTGAAATTTTGAATTTTTTATCTTTCTTTTTTGACGGACTATGGATTCTTGTCTCCATTGATTCATAACAGCACATGCATTTATGGATTGTCATTAATTGTAATGCATAATAAAAAAATGTAATATAGGATCATAGATTATACTGATCCTTGAACCTACATCACTTAGAGGCAAGCATGTTATTGCCTATTGCACCATGTGATCATCATTCAAAACAAACTTTTCATTGATTTATGTCTAAAATTTTCATATTTATAATATATCTTTAATATCTAATTGTTTAAATATTTTTTAATGTATTTTAGAAATTATAACCAAATAATTATGATTCATGATTCGGAAAAATGTAATTTTGATTCATGATTCAATTCTTGATTTGACAACTGTGTTGGGATATTGTCTCTTCACCAACATGTCAGTACTTGTGGTGTTGAGCTTATTAAATGTTCTTTTATAATTGATTTTATTTCTTCATTTTTGTTTTGGGTGTGGGTCTTCCTTTTTTTTCAAAAATATTTTAGATTATATCTTTCTCCTCAAGAGTTTTAAGATTTCTCATGATCTCTATCCTCTTCCACGAAGTCCAACATTGTCTACCCCAATTGCAAGATTGCTTGTTTCGGGTGATGCTTCCCCCACCTCCTCCTTCACTACCCCAAAATTTCTGACATTGGCTTAATAGTATGTTTCATTTATCTACTTGCCCAATTACCACATATTCTACTCTATGATCTAGGTAAGCCTATCTTGGCAATGCTATCATAACATATCTTCAAATATTTAAATATCTTGTCCAGTATGCACCTTTGGGTGAAGTGAAGTAATATAAGAAATGATGCAAGGTAGATTAACTGTGTTGCACACTTTTAGAAACATAGGAAGTTGAGCTCAATAAAATTCATTAGGTTAAAAATCTTATGTTATTCGCATTGTGTGGCAATGCTTGATGAAGTCATACATGGAACTAATAGTTTTGTTATTTTATTTTTTATTATTTATTTATTTATTTATTTTTTCCGTCTTCATAAAAACATCTAGAGTCTTAATGGTTATATCCATAACCCTCTCTCTCATAAGTGTGGGTTTTTGTAATGTGTGAGAGATGGCATTGGGTACAGACACGGGGTCTGTGGATTCATATTTTGTACCTTTTTTTGTTGGTGACTTTGTTGCCGTTTCTTTCACTGGGTGTAGGCTCCACCTGTGATAGTCTTCTCTTCAGCTTGTGCAGGGTTGACAGGTTAGAGTTTTCTCCATAAAAAATTATTTTCAGATGTATGTCTATTCGGTTTTATGAATTGTTTTATTACCTTCATTAATGTTGTTAGAGAAACTAAAACTACATGGAAATGAATTCCTCATAGATGAAATATACATTCATAATCTAGCACAGGTTTTATATGAATTTTTTATCAGTTTGTGGTACATTTTATGTATTATGTAGAGTATCTTGTCCTGTATATTTTAGAATTGCCACATTATAAACTAATAACCCAGGATAAACACATCTTAAGAGTAAAATAGATGAATGTATATTTATGTATTGTCCCATAAATGCGTTGTGAACATGCCAAAATTGGGTTTTTATAGAGAAGTGGTTATAGCTTTTGTTTCCCCCTAGCACTATTGGAGTGTGGTACATGGAGATATTATGGTAGTTTCTGGCATTTTCATGAATTAGGAGTGTTTGAGAAGATTTTGAAGGCCTCTTTCATTGTTGTAGTGCTCATGAACGTGGGTGCGTGGGACATTTAGGATTATAGACCTATCAACCTTGTGGGTAGTCTATATAAACTTGTGGCCATAGTTTTGTTTTGGCTATTTGGATGAGGAAGGTCATTGGGAAGTTTAGTCTCAAAAATGCTTTTTTCTTTTGAGAACTCATGTTGGTGTCTCATTTGGTATTGCAGAACAACAACATATATATATATATTTTTTTTGTGGGGACAAGGGGGAGAAGTTGAGATATGATGTGTCCTTATATTTTGCGGAGCTGTTTGGGTATGCATTAACTTGGCCTGGAGTGAGCTTATCATTGTCTGATTCTCATTTTGGGGGTATAAGATCGGTTCTCATTTTGGTCACGGTAGGCTGTGTCTGGGAGGGAAGAGCATACCTAAATCATGTAGTTTGCTCTGGGGCATTATTCGAAAACTAGGTGGAATTTATTTTTGCTGATACAGTGAAGTCATGTCTGTGTTGAGAACTACAATTTTCTGATCCCCAATGTTGGTCCATCATGGATGTTGAGAAATAGTGAGTTATGGCTCTCCGCTGCAGATAGGGATGCTTTTTGGACATGCGATTTTGTGTGTATATATAGAATATGATTGTTTCATTATGTGAAGCATCTGTCTTTATTTTTTTTGATAAATAAATTTCATTTTGTAAAGCTGATTTAAACCTAATGTGTTTGTGCATGGGATGGGCATTTTGCAGGTGGTGCTGTTCCAGCACTTGCCTAACTTGCATCTTCATCTTATCATTCATCATTCTCGTCTCCGTCATTGCCATCTCCAACCTCACAGGATGATTAGATTCACAAGTCCAGAAATTCCTCTCCTCAATAAGTCTCTCTATAGTTGAATAAGTAGCAGAGCACTCTGGTGATGTCCATTGTGGACCACGGGCCTGAGCCATTCTCTATGCTTTGTGGGTAGCCTCACAAGAAGCTTGTGCAATAAAATGCATGGCTGTTCTCCTTAGGCCCTCTAATATGTTCTAGCTACAGGCATTGGTTCTTATGTATTATGTATGTAGCAGAGCTAGGGATGGTTCTCTATATGTAAGAATCATATAGAGGATAAATAAACCATGCCCCTATAGAGACGAGAATGTTTTATTTAGGTTTTAGGGTTTGGGGTTTAGGGTTTAGGGGTTTAATTAAATTAGGGTTTAGGGTTTAAGGGGTTTGGGGTTTGGGGTTTCGGTTTCGGGTTGGGGTTTGGGGTTGTAGGGTTTGGGTTTAGGGTTAGGGGTTTGGGTTTTGGGGTTAGGGGTTAGGGTTGAGGGGTTAGGGGTTAGGGGTTAGGGGCTAGGGTTAGGGGTTGGGGTTTAGGATTTAGGGTTTAGGGGGTTGGGGGTTGGGGGTTTAGGGATTTAGGGTCTAGGGTTTTAGGGTTAAGGATTTTTAGGGTTTAGGGTTTTTAGGATATAGGGTTTTGAGGATTGAGGGTTTTTAGGGTTTAGGGTTTAGTGTTTAGGGTGTTTGGGCATGGTTCTTATGTATTATGTATGTAGCAGAGCTAGGGATGGTTCTCTATATGTAAGAACTATATAGAGGATAAAAACCATGCCCCTATAGAGACGAGAATGTTTTATTTAGGGTTTAGGGGGTTTGGGGTTTAGGGTTTAATTAAATTAGGGTTTAGGGATTAGGGGTTTGGGGGTTGGGGGTTTCGGTTGGGGGTTTGGAGTTTTGGGTTTAGGGTTTTTGGGTTTTCGGTTTACGGTTTAGGGTTTAGGATTAGGGGTTTAGGGTTTTGGGTTTTGGGTTTTGGGGTTAGGGTTGAGGGTTTAGGGTTTAGGGGTTAGGGTTTAGAGTTTTGGGGGTTTAGGGGTCTAGGGTTTTAGGGCTTTAGGGTTTAGAGGTTAAGGGTTTTAGGGTTTTTAGGATTTAGGGTTTTTTGGGTTTAGGGTTTAGGGTTTTAGGGTTTTAGGGTTTAGGGTTTACGATTTAGGGTTTTTGGGTTTAGGGTTTGCGGTTTGGGGTTTTGAGTTTCGGTTTTAGGGTTTTGGCTTTAGGGTTTCGGGTTTTGGTTTGGGGTTGGGGGTTGGGGTTGTAGGGTTATAGGGTTTAGGGTTTAGGGGTTTTGGGGGTTAGGGTTAGGGTTAGGGTTTAGGGTTTGGGGTTTAGGGTTAGGGTTTTGGGGGTTGGGGGTTTAGGGGTCTAGGGGTCTAGGGTTTTAGGGTTTTAGGGTTTTGAGGGTTTAGAGTTTAGAGTTTAAGGGTTTTTAGGGTTTTTAGGGTATAGGGTTTTGAGGACTGAGGGTTTTTAGGATTTAGGGTTTTTAGGGTTTAAGGTGTTTAGGTTTAGGGTTTAGGGTTTACGGTTTGGGGTTTGCGATTTGGGGTTTAGGGTTTCGAGTTTAGGGTTTAGGGTTTTAGGGTTTTGGCTTTAGCGGTTCAGGGTTTTGGGTTTTGGGTTTAGGATTTTGGGGTTTTGGGGTTTTGGACTTAGGGTTTGGGGTTTAGGATTTAGGGTTGGGGTTTTGGGGTTTATGGTTTTGGGTTTTGGGTTAGGGGTTTAGGATTTAGGGTTTGGGGTTTATGGTTTTGGGTTTTGGGTTAGGGGTTTAGGGGTTAGGTTTTGGGGTTTTGGGGTTTTGGGTTTTGGGTCTAGGGTTAGGGGTTGGGGGTTGAGGGTTTTGGGTTTTTGGTCTGGGGTCTAGGGTTAGGGGTTAGGGGTTAGGGGTTAGGGTTAGGGTTTTGGGTTTTAAGGTCTAGGGTCTAGGGTCTAGGGATTCGTGATTAGGGTTTAGGGGTTTAGTGTTTAGGATTTAGGGTTTAGGGTGTAGGGTTTAGAGTTTAGGGTTTAGGGTTTAGGGTTTAAAATTAGGGGTTTAGGGGTTAGGGTTTGGGATTTTAGGGTTTGGGGTTTAGGCGTTGCTTTTTGATGCTTCGATGTCGGCACTTCCTATCATTGTGAAGCAGAATTCACCAAGTGTTGGATTGTTCACCCACCAATAGGGAACGTGAGCTGGGTTTAGACCGTCGTGAGACAGGTTAGTTTTATCCTTCTGATGACAGTGTCGCAATAGTAATTCAACCTAGTACGAGGGAAATCGTTGATTCGCACAATTGGTCATCGCGCTTGGTTGAAAAACCAGTGGCGCGAAGCTACCGTGCGCTGGATTATGACTGAACGCCTCTAAGTCAGAATCCAGGCTAGAAGCGACGCATGCGCCTGCCGCCCGCTTGCCGACCCGCAGTAGGGGCCGTCTGGCCCTCGAAAGGCACGCGTCATTTGTGAAGCCCGCGTGGCGGACGAGCCGCGCGGGCCGCCTTAAAGTACAATTCCCATCTCGAATGGTGGGTTGCCCAGCATGCCAGGGCAATGGCCTGCATGCCATGCCACCGCCTTGCCCAGCATGCCATGCCACTGCCTTGGCCAGCATGCCTTGCCAAAGCGTTGCCCAACATGTCAGGGGAAGGCCTTGGCCAGCTTGTCATGCCACTGCCTCGTCCAGCGTGCCAAGCAACTGCGTGGGCCAGCGTGTCATGCCACGGCCTTGGCCTGCATGCCTTGCCACAGCGTTGCCCAGTATGCCATGCCATGGCGTTGCCTGGAGTGCCATGCCTTAGCCTCGGCCAGCATGTCATGCCACCGCTACGGTTAACATGTCATGCCACTGCTTTGGCCGGCATGCCATGCCTTAGCCTGGGCCAGCATGCCATGCCACCGCCTCGGCCAGTATGCCATGCCAAAGCGTTGGCCAGCATGCCATGGCGGGCACGCCCATGCCACGGCCGTGGCCGGCATGCCAAGCCATGGCGTTGCCCAACATGCCAAGGCCTCGGCGGGCAGGCCCTACCACGGCCTCGGTCGGCATGCCATGCCACGCCACGCCCTCGGCCCGCATGCCTTGTCGCAGCGTTGCACAGTATGCCATGCCACGGCGTTGCCCGGAGTGCCATGCCTTAGCCACGGCCAGCATGTCATGCCACTGCCACGGCCAGCATGCCATGCCAGTGCCTTGGCCGGCCTGCCATGCCTTAGCCTTGGCCAGCATGCCATGCCACCGCCTCGGCCAGCATGCCATGCCAAAGCGTCGGCCAGCATGCCAAGGCGGGCATGCCAATGCCACGGTCGTGGCCGGCATGCCAAGCCATGGCAGGTATGCCATGCCACGGCCTCGGCCCGCATGCCATGCCTCTGCCTCGGCCCGCATGCCATGCCTCTGCCTCGGCCCGCATGCCATGCCTCTGCCTCGGCGGCCCGCATGCCATGCCACAGCCTCGGCCAACATGCCATGACATGCCCTCGGCCTGCATGCCTTGCCACGACGTCGGCCCGCATGCCCTGCCACGGCGTTGCCCGGCATGCCATGCCACAGCGTTGCCTAGCATGCCATGCCACAGCGTTGCCTAGCATGCCAAGGTCGGAATTCCATGCCACGGCCTCGGCTCGCATGCCATGCCACGACGTTGCCCAGCGTGCCATGCCACAACGTTGCCCAGCGTGCCATGCCACGGCCTCGGCCCGCATGCCATGCCATCGCGTTGCCCACCATGCCAAGGCCGGAATGCCATGCCACGGCCTCGGCCTGCATGCCATGCCACGACCTCGGCCCGCATGCCTTGCCACGACGTTGCCCAGTATGCCATGCCATGGCATTGCTCGGAGTGCCATGCCTTAGCCTTGGCCAGCATGTCATGCCACCGCTACGGCCAGCATGGCTTACCACAGCCCTGCCCAGCATGCCAAGGTCGGAATTCCATGCCACGGCCTCAGGCCGCATGCCATGGCACGACCTCGGCCCGCATGCCATGGCACGGCCTCGGCCCGCATGTCTTGCCACGGTGTTGCCCAGCATACCATGCCATAGCGTTGCCCAGCGTGCCATGCCTTAGCCTTGGCCAACGTGCCACGCCACGGCCTCGGCCCGCATGGCATGCCACAGCGTTGCCCAGCATGCCTTGCCACGCCGTTGCCCAGCATGCTATGCCTTTACCTTGGCCAACTTGCCATGCCACAGCGTTGCCCAGCATGCCAAGGCCGGAATGCCATGCCCCGGCCTCGGCCCACATGCCATACCATGTCCTTGGCCAGCATGCCATGCCACGGCATCGGCCCACATGCCTTGCCACGACGTTGCCTAGCATGCCAAGCCACAGCGTTGCCTAGCGTGCCATGCCTTAGCCTTGGCCAACATGCCATGCCACGGCCTCGGCCCGCATGGCATGCCACTGCCTTGCCCAGCATGCCAAGGCCGGAATGCCATGCCACGGCCTCGGCCTGCATGCCATGCCACGGCCTCGGCCTGCATACCTTGCCACGGCGTTGCCCAGCATGCCATGCCACGGCGTTGCCCAGCGTGTCATGCCTTAGCCTTGGCCAACATGCTATGCCATGGCACGGCGTTGCCCAGCATGCCATGCCACAGCGTTGCCCAGCGTGCCATGCCTTAGCTTTGGCCAATATGCCAAGCCACGGCCTCGGCCTGCATGCCATGCCACAGCGTTGCCCAGCATGCCCAGGCCGGAATGCCATGCCACGGCATCAGCCCGCTAGCCTTGCCACAGCCTTGGCCAGCATGCCATGCCACGGCCTCGGCCTGCATGCCTTACCACGGCGTTGCCCAGCATGGCATGCCACAACGTTGCCTAGCATGGCATGCCACAGCGTTGCCCAGCATGCCAAGGCCGGAATGCCTTGTCACGGCCTTGGCCCGCATGCCTTGCCACGGCGTTGCCCAGCATGCCATGCTACAGCGTTGCCCAACGTGCCATGCTTTAGCCTTGGCCAACATGCCATGCCACAGTGTTGCCCAGTATGCCAAGGCCGGAATGCCAAGCCACGGCCTCGGCTAGTATACCATGCCACGG